TCTTCCTTAGATCTTTTAGACAAACAGAAATTGTTAACTTTAATGTAGTCAAATTTACCAGTCTTTTCTAGGCTTAAGAAATTTTCTACACCCTGAATTATGAATATGTAGTACTAAGTCATTCTTTAAAAACCTACTTTACTTTTCACATTTATAGTGTTCTTGGGATGTCATTGTTGCTGTTTCTATAAAGAGTGAGAAAGAGGTTAAAATTTATTTTTTCTCTATCTTGATACCTAATTGTCCCAGGTTCGATTATAAAAAGCTTTTTTGTTCCTTGTTCCCAGTGTGTAAGCAGACTGTTCTGTGTTTATTACAAATTAAGGCTATGCGTATATGTGTATCAGTTCCTGGATTCTCTGTATGGTTACATTGGTTTATTTGTTTATTCATTTGCCTTTATCATACTTTAATAATTATTTTAACTTCAAAATAATTCTTTTTTGCAGCTTTGAACCTGGTTTCTGGTGCTGTGAAGGTAGCTTTAGAGTTTTCTTCTTCTTTTTTATGCAAAAGAATGTGTTATATTTGAAGATATGGGAGAAGAATTCTTTCTTTTTAATCTAAGAAAGTCTTCCCAGCTTCTTCTCTTTTTGTCAAAATGTCTTGCTCTTCTTTGCCCTTGGCAGTTATATATGCAAACCAATTTTAAAATCAGCTTGTGAAATTCCATCTAACAAACAAAAATTAAAATTTCTCAGGATTAAGACTGTGATATTTTATTAAATTGATCGATCAACCTGGGAAAAATTGAGATGATTATTATATGGAAACTTCTACCCACTAAATATCATGTTTCTCCAGTTTTTAGGACTTCAATTACAAATGCTTTCATAATTACCTCTGCAGAGGTCTTTTTTTCTTCTCTTTCTTTTTCTTGTGTGCTGATTTATAGGGCACATGTACAGATCTGTTACATGGGTATATCACATAGTGGTGAAGTCTGGGCTTTTCATATAAGCCTTACTTGGTTGGTGTACATAACACCCAGTTGATCATTTCTCATCCTACACCCGTCTCCCATCCTTCCACTCCACTTCCAAGTCTCCAATGTCTGGTATGATCCTCTCTGTGTCAGTGTGTGCTCATTATTCAGCTCTCATTTGTAAGTGAGAACATATGGCACTTGAATTTTCAGCTCTGTCCCCATTGCTGCCAAAGACATGATTTCATTATTTTTTATGCCTGAGTAGCATTCCATGGCTGGAATCCAATCATCCACTCATCCATTTGTGGACACTTAAGTTGGCTTCATATCTTTATTATTTTGAATAGTACAGCAACGAACATACAAGTGTGGGTATTTTTCGATATAATGATTTCTTGCCTTTTGGGTGGAATTTCTGGATTAAATAGTAGGTCTACTTCTAATTATTTGAGGAATTTCCATATTGTTTTCCATCACAGACATGAGCCACTGCATCTGGCCCAGGAAATTTTTTTTTTTTTTGAGACAGAGCCTCAGCTATCCCCCTGGGCAGAGTGCCATGGCATGGCACCACAGCTCACAGCAACCTCCAACTCCTGGGCTCAAGCGAGTCTCTTGCCTCAGCCTCCCAAGTAGCTGGGACCACAGGCGCCCACCATAACACCTGTCTATTTTTTTTTTTTGGTTGCAGCCGTCATTGTTGTTTGGCGGCCCAGGCCGGATTCGAACCCGCCACATTAGGTGTATGTGGCTGGCGCCTTGGCCACTTGAGCCACAGGCGCCGAGCCAGAAATTTTTATTATAGCTGCACAGTTCTTAAATATCTCTTGTTCTCTTTATGTATTCTTAGGTATGCTAAGAATAAATAAATAAATAATAAAATGATTATTATTTTTGTATTTCATCTTATTTTTGTTGGTGTAATAAAGGCATCCACTGATTTTTGTGTATTGATTGTTTTTATTCAGTAACCTTTCTAAACTCTTGTGTTCCAATAATTGAGCTGTATTTTTTTGATTTGCTATAAATGGAATCATATCACTGGTGAATAACTCTAATTCATTTCTTCCATATTTAATCCTTGTTTTAAAAATTTCTTTTTCTTGCCTTTCTACAATGAAAGGGACTCTAGGCAATGCTGATAACAATCCTGTGGTGCTGTGGATTTTTTTCTAATTCACTCATACTTCCCCTTTCTGGGTTTTCATGGGCACTTCCTACTCATTCTTCAATACCCAGATCAGAGTTATCCTAGTTACACCAGTATACAATATTCTCACAGTCAGAACACTTGGGTTTGAGAACTAAGGAGTGAAAGTCGGACATAACTTAGTGCCTCTTGCTGATGTGACTTATGACCCACTTTCAACATATTTTCTTCCCATTCCTAAGATTCTGGGCTCTGCTTAGAGGTCTTAAAAGGTAGAATACTTCCACAGAGGGACACAGTTCCATTGATCTGGAAAGTGAGACTGTGGCCTGGCAGTTTAAGCTACTTCATGTCAATGGACCAACAAGTGACAAAAGAGGTTTCCCATGTGTATTAGTCAGGATCCTCCGGAGAGACAGAAGCCATAGGATACAGGTGTAGATACGGATATATAAATATATCCGAAGGGATTTATTAGGGGACTTGGCTCACACAATTATGCAGGCTGAAGAGTTCTCACCACAGGCTGTCTGCAAGTCGGAAACCCCGGGTTGCCATTCATGGGGCTCAGACCATGTCTGAAAACCTCAGAACCAAGGGAGTTGACGGCGTCATATCTCTCAGTCTGAAGCCAATGACCTGAGAAACTAAAAGTGGGAGGGCACTAGTGTAAGTTGTACAGTCCCAAGGCCAGAGAGCCTGGGGTCCCAATGTCCCAGCTCCTAAAGGAGAGGAACCCTTTTCTTCCGCCTTTCTGTTCTATCTGGGCCCCCAGCTAACTTGGTGCTGCTCACCCCCAGCAAGGGCTGACCTTCCCCACCTAGTCCACTCAGACACACATGCCAGTCTCCTCTGGAAATATCCTCCCCAACACACCCATAAGTAATGCTTTACAGATTTTCTTAATCCAGTCAAGTTGACACCTAAACCTAACCATCACACTATATTGGCCGGGGTTACTTACCACTGTTATCTAGGTAAATAGGGGTGCTTATACACAGTGGGGATAGACGAAGAGTAAGCCTAGAATTCAGGATCCCTCTAGGGCCACCGTCTAATACGGTCAGCAGTAAAACCTTCACATTTATTGCCATGTAATTATTCATTATATCTTGTGTTAAATTGCCACGTGTCTGCAGCTAGGTACCCTTTAGTATCAGATACTTTGTTATCTGCATTTTCTCTTTTCTCCTAATCAGTCTTGCTAGATGTTTATCTCATTAGTCTTTTTATAGAAACAGAAACTGGCTTTGCATGTTCTCTCTCTAGTTGGTTTTTTATTATTCTGTTATTTTTGCCTTTACTCTTCCTTCGGTTTTGGAGGGGAAAATTTGTAGTTCTGCTAGTTTCTTGAGTCGAATGTTAGGTCCCTTGACTTTAGTTTTTCTTTTGTTATTAATTCCATAAATAATTGTTCCTTCACGAAAACTCCCTCTAAGGATTGCTCTAGTTGTGTTCTATATTTTTCACAATATGCTTTATTACCATCCTGTTGTATTTTATAATATTCTTATGATTTCCTCCTTAATTATAGTGTTATTTTGAGTAGGGTTTTTTGTTTCTTTTGCAAACATGAGATTATTTTCACTATCCTTTTTGTTTGTTTGTTTGTTTTGCAGGTTTTGGCCGGGGCTGGGTTTGAACCCACCACCTCGGGCATATGGGGCTGGTGCCCTACTCCTTTGAGCCATAGGTGCTGCCCTATTTTCACTATCTTTTTAAACCAATTTTTAATATTGTTGCATTATAGTTTGAAAACCTATGATGTAAGGTTTTTATTGAATTTATGATTGACTTCTTGGAATGTTCCACATGTACTCTCAAAGAAAGTAAATTTTTAGTTCCATGTAAATTTGTCTATATTTGAATTCATCACTCAAATCTATGCTTTTGTTTAGTTTTGATTTATTTTATCTATTAGTTTCTAGAAGAGTTATGTTAAAATATGCACTGCATATATTGATTTATCTTTTCTTCCTCCCTAATTCTGACCTGTTCTATCTCTATTTTGAGACTATACTGTTTCATTGTGTATATGGGCATGATAATAATGCGTTCATGATTTTTTAACCAACATTTACTTTGAATATTGGCTTATAATCCTTTTTATTCAATTTTTCTGATTTGTTTTAAATGCGTTACAATTGTTAAAATAAAAGTTTTGACTTAGTGTCATGACTGAACAGCTATCAAATTCTAAAATAAGATACCAGATAACCTTATGTGACTTTTAAAGTATTCTGAGGATGTGTTCCCTGACTCTTAGATGACTCCTCTGGTCGAGGAAAATAAAAGGGTTGGGAGAGAGAGGAAGAGCAGGGTGCTGAATGCACTTCTCAGGCAGAGCTACTGTGCTGGGGTTTCTCCCCCACTCCCCATTACAAGAGGACTGGTTTGAAATGATATGTGCCTTGTTTGGGGTCTGATGGGGAGTTGTTATTTGTTTATTTTTTAAAGTTCAGAGAACTTTGAAATATGTTTCTTGTGTGCAGAGGAACAGGGTGGACATGATTAGACTCCTTTCTGGGAAAGCTAGAGGGAAAGAAAGCACAGGCTAACTTTTTTGATGGTGGGCCTGGGAGAGCTTTCTCTGAGTTTGTTGGCACCAAAAGTATGAATTTTTCAGACCAGGATGTCACAGGACAGGAAAAGAGAACAAAAGGAAGCTAGTGTGTAGTCACCTAGTGTGTGTCTGATAGGCCACCTGGTAGTGTGAGAGAATCTGGAGGTGCACACCCAGAGCTGGAAGAGGCCATCACAAATACCACCCGGAGCAGACATGTGTCTGGGTGGATCAGGGGAACTTGGAAGGCAAACATGCAGCGTAGTTCTTGAATAGCAAATTAGAGCCTCCAAAACAAACAAAACAAAACAAAACGTGGCTTTAAATGGCTGTGTGCCTAGATCATCTGAAGGCTGCACTTTACTAATCCTGCCTTCTCCAAAGTTGTCAGCTTTAAAGTTGTCGATGCCACCTGAAAAGGCAAATGGAGAAAACAGGTGAAATTAAACACGTTCCACCCTGCATTTTTACTGTAAGCTTTTTACCAGGAAATATGCTGAGAGAAGAGGAATGACTTGGTGCTAACTCGAGTTTTGGATTTTGATTAATAGCTTGAACTTAACATCCTAATTAGTAAATTAGGAATTAAATATGTACCTTGCTTCTCATCTAAGAGTGAGAAGAAAAACCATTTGTAAATGTCTCCTCAAAGGAGAATTTGATTATTACAAAGTTCATTTTTATTTTAAAATGAGTTTTATAGTAAAATAGTTTCCTTTTGTATCAGTAATTCAAAATCATTTAAATGGAATTATATTGATGGCATTGGAATTATTTATTTTTGTTTAATGAATGTGTTATACATATGTATATTTCTGAATGCTTTGCTGGATTTTAAAAATATAATCTAAAAATCCATGCCTTTTATTGTTCATTTTAACTCAAGGTTATTGTAGTTATTTTGCAAATGAGACCTAATTTCTCCTGTTCTATTTTATGATTTCTGTTTACCCATTTGTTTAAATTTACTTTTTACCCTTGCCTACCAGTTTTCATTAAAGAGGTTAAATTTTTAATATGTTACTCGAATTTTACTTAAATGATGTTAACTATAGCATTTATAGCAGAGGATCTAATTCCACACAAAATGGAAGCCTCTAAAATGTACGTGCCCATTACACTGCTAAAAAATAACTTGAGTCGTGAGAATACAACAAAGGTGTAGATTCCAAGTGTGATTCCAGCCACGGAGACTCTTCTCGGTTCATGGCTATTATTCTTAGAAGCTAGATCGTTCTCTGGTACAAGAGCAAACACACACGACATGAGAAGAAATTAAGTCCTAAATTATTGGTTTCGTCACATTCACCCTTTTTACCCCAAAATGGCACAAACAAAACAGTCACCACATCATGCAAACTACTTTTGGTGAAAAAAACAGAGGCAGACTGGAATGGAAACAGCCCATGAATATTTGTCTAAAAAAGTCCCTTTGAGATAAATTTGTATGTATGTACCATCGAGCAATGAGCCCCTCCTTGGTTAGAGTGAGAAACCAAGTTGCGATTCTCAAGAAGATGCAATTTCTCTCATTTACCCAATATAAATTTACGAAGTGCCTAATATTATCAGTTTCCACTTGCTGACATTTCTAAGTAAAAAAGAAACCTGACTTTTTGAGAAGGACCATGAATAACTCCCAAGGACCAATTTTGGAGTTGGATTTCTTCTGTATCTCTGAAAGGGTAACACCCTAAAGCTGGATTATGTTTAACCTAGAAGTCTAATACAGTATTTTAGAAATACTTGTATCCTAGACCTATACAACATGAAAAGGTATAATATATTTTGATGGTAGCTATGCTACCTCCTGAAAAAGAGCTTAAAATGAAACAATGGTACAGTATTCAATTATGAATGGTACAGTATTACAATTCTAGTCCTACATCAAGCTGTGGCCACTAGCATTGATGTTTTTGCCATAAAGCAGAGCTTAATGCTTGGCATTACAATCAGAAAGTATTCTATTCCTACAGCTGCCATTGTTCACTTAGGCTGAGAAGGAGGCATCGGGATCTGTCTGATACTTGGCTACTATTCCAAAATGGGTGTTTGCAATTCTGGGCTGTCCAGGTGAAACTGATAGAGGTCTCCAACATCTTGTTCACAGTCTGGCACATGGAGCCACCAAACTGTGCCATCCTTCACACTGGTGTAAAACTGGATTTCATCAGTCTCCTAGGCAGCCGCAAAGCTGTTCTGGGTTAGTTGGGGCTTTTCGATCTCAAAATTCAGTTATGAGCACACCAGCCCTCATAATTTAGCACAAGAGAACCATGGATTAAAGGCTCAGAAATGCCCAAATCCACGGCCCAGCCCAGGCTGCTGTGCTCTCGCTTGCAGTCTGTCTCAGTTTTGTCATTTTCCTCCAGTGCTTGGGGTAAAGGATGAATCATAGCCCAGCTTTGGTGCACAGGCAGGCTGATCTGGGTAATCTCTGCACCTAGTATATTGACAGGGCTCCGTTCCTCCGCCTTAAATGTCAGACCAGATTTAGCTGTCTGTCCTTAGTTTCCAGATCACCTGTCACTTTGGTGGCCTGTCATTGGCTGAGCCTGAGCTAACGTCCAGTCTATTCTCAAATCGAGTTTTATGAAGACAAAGCCACAGCTCTTTTTGAAAATTTCCCAACAGACCTGCCATGGTCAGTGCCCGTGGGAGGCACAGCCACCTTCACTTCAAGGGCAGAGGCAGCAGCCTCAGGAGGGTGAGGCTGATTCCCTGACGCTGCTCTCAGAGTCACTCTGTTTCTATTTCTGGGGGTAATTACTAACTTACTAAGATAAATAACGGCCTTCATTTACATTTCTTTGAAACAGCTTCCTCCCCGCCCTTCAATCACATTATCAAACTTGAGTTTAAGTAATAGAATTTTATTTATTTTTCTACACATTTTGTCACTGTTTATTTAAGCAATGAAATTTACTATTTACTCAAACTCACTTTCCATATCTGTGGCCTATTTCTTCATTAATTTTTCTTCTCACTAGAGCACTGCCTCTAAGAGTGTTTTTGGTGGTAAGTGTATTAAAATTTTGAGGTCCGATAAATCAGAGAATATCTTTATTCACCCTCACAATTAAATAAAAGTTTAGATAGATATCAAATTATAATAATTATCTATAATTATATGATTACAATCATATATTATTCATAATTATCCATAATTTATCTAAATTATATAATTATCTATAATTTAGATAATTTAATTTACAGTGGTGCTTGTAGCTCAGTGGATAGGGTGCCAGCCATATACACTGAGGCTGCTGGGTCAGCTAAACAACAATGACAACTGCAACAAAAAAATAGCTGGGTGTTGTGGCAGGCGCCTGTAATCTTGAGACGCTGAGGCAGGAGAATCGCTTGGGCCCAAGAGTTTGAGGTTGCTGTGAGCTGTGACACCGCGGCACTCAACCAAGGGTGATAAAGTGTGACTCTGTCTCAAAAAAAAATTATGGGTAGGACTTTTTTCCTTGAATACTTTGAAAATGTTATTTTTGGCTGGGTGCAGAGGCTTGCACTTGTAATTCTAGCTGAGAGGCCAAGGCAGGTGAATTGCTTGAGTTGACAAGTTCAAGACCAGCCTGAGTAAAAGGGAGACCCTGTCTCTACTAAAAATAGAAAAACTGAGGCAAGAAGATTGCTTGAGCCCAAGAGATGGAGGTTGCTATGAGCTATGAGGCCACTGCACTCTACCCAGGGTGACAGCTTGAGACTGTCTCAAAAAAAAAGAAAGAGAGAAAGAAAAGAAAATGCTATTTTTCATTGACTTGGTAAGAAGTCTGAGGCTGATCTGATTCCTGTGATTTATAGATAATTCTTTATGCTCTTGAATACTTCAGAATTTTCCCTTGGTCTCTACTATTCCTAGATTTTTCTTAATGTTTAGGTTTGTCCTATCTATTCAGCTCAAAAAATTATGACACTTTCACTGTGGAAATCTTTCATCTTTCTCCAATTTTGTAAAATTTTTGGCTATTATTTTTTCCCACAAGATTTCTCCTCTTGTTGTATCTCTAACACAGATACTGCCTCTTCCACTGCTGTCCTCTATATTTCTTAACTTCCTTTCTGCAGTTTCCTTTCTGATATATTGAGGGGTGTTTTTCCTGGTCTTCTAAGCTCACTACGTTTTCCTTAGTAGTATTCTATGTGCTAATTCAGTCACCTGTTGGATGTTCATTTTGAGGATTATGGTTTTCATATTTATTATCTCTAGGTGGCTATTCTTTCTTTAATTTGTCTCTATTTGGTATATATAGGGAGTGCTGAGGAGTAGCCCAAGGCAGAAAACCTCTAGAGCGTCAGCTGCGTGTCACCATCCACTGACATAGCAGAGAGACGGTTCTCAGGAGCTGAGCAGCAGCACACTTGTGCCTGTTGCTGTCTCCCCTGGGCTGCTTTCCAGTGCTGCCCTGGTAACTACTGCCACCAGGTGGTAGAATAATTGCCCGCTGGGGTTGGGCACCGATTAGCTCAGAGCAATATCTGGGAGAGAAAGGTCTCATATCCAAAAAGCCCTCTCTGGCCTGCAATCGGAGCAACTTCTGCTTGCCAGTGTTTTCTTCCTGAGTATTTATTTATGACAAGTTTCTAGGCTTTGAGAGGCCCCAGCCTGCCTCTTGTCTGTGGGCTATTGCCAAGGTGCAGCTTAGGAGTAAGAGCCTGCATCCAGCCCTCTTGTCCACAAATGTCAGGTAGTTTGTGAAAAGAAAATGCAAGTGAAACAAAACGCGTCTATGGGCTGACACCAGCCACAGAACACCAGTTTGGGGAGAGAGGGTAAAGGATTGGCGAGCTTTCAAAGGCCGGACACCATCTGTCCACCCAGGAAAACACATGTTTTCAGTGCAGCTATAAGTGGAAACAGAACCATCAGGACCTGAGGCAACCATATATGACAGTCCTCAACCTTGTGTGTCTGAGATAGCATCTGTGTGACCCCAGAACGGGCCAGAGGACAACGCTACTCCAAAACTGTGAGGAGGGACCCGTAGGGCAACTTACCAAATTCTCTGCCTGTGGAGTCTGCATGAGAGAAGAGTGAGACACCATGATCCGTGATTCTGAGGACATTCTCTGCACCAGCCCCACCCTCCCCCTCCTGCCCTGCTTCCTTTCTGATTTCTTCTCCCAGATCCCTCATCTCACCAAAGCCATACCTTTCCCAACAACGCTTCATTTCACACCCACAAGGAAGTTTCAAATATGCATTGCCCATTGATGAGAAGTGCGTCCTCTTCCAAGAAGTTCCGCATCCCAGGGATTTAGCTCCTGCTCCTGCTACTCCTGCTACTCCTGCTTCTCTAGGGCCCTGACAGAGCTTCAGACACAGGGCCAGGAGATAATAGAGAGGAGAAGAAAGGCTCCTCCCATGTTTTGTAGGATGTCAAGTCCCCTTTTCTCAACTGC